AACACATACCGAATGTGGCTACTGCACTTGTTAGTCTATCAAGTGCGCTTTGCGTGTCCTCCATACATTCGAACAGACAGATGATGTCATTAGCGTACTCTAAATCGCACAGCTTTTCTCCAGCTGCCCATTCAATACCTACGGTTTGGTGTCCCCTTAGTGTGCTCTCCAGTATTTCGTCTATGACGAAATTGAATAGGAACGACGAAAGACGGCATCCTGGACGGTCTCCGCTGCTGGTGACGAACGGTCTACTTTGATTGTTGTAAACCCTTACGCAACCGGAGGTCTGTGATTACAGTGACCTCAGTAGGCTAAATACTTCTGGGGCATTCCTTTTCGAACAAGAGGGCCTATCAGAGCTTCGCGGTCAACTGAGTCGAAGGCTCCTTTCAGGTCAAGGAACACTGCGATCGTGGGCGGACGGTGGGTATGACGCAGCTCAAGGACCTGACACAACGTAAGAATCTGATCAATACATCCACGGCCACGCCGGAATCCGGCTTGCTATTCACGGATGTTGGTCTCTCTGAAAGGCGTCAGACGTCGAAGTATAACCGAAGCTAGCACTTTGGTGACGATCGGGATCAAACTTATCCCGCGGTGGTTTTCACAGTCTTTGCGACATACTTTCTTGAAAANATTGTGTTCTTGCGTCCAAATTTTGCGCAATAAGGTATTAATACAGCTTACAAGGTCATAAGCCCCCCCTTCATCTTGAAAATAGTGGGAGGGAGCTCATCAGGTCCTGCTGCCTTTCCTCGCTTTTGAGACTGAATGCAAGACCGAACTTCTGCTTCCGTTGGAGGATCGCATGACACTGCCCACGGAGCTTTAGTTGGAGATGAAGCAGCCTGGTTAGCACTAGGCCAGCTGAACTGTTTGCTGGACTATTCTGCCCAGCGATCGATTCGTTGATCCGTATTGTGAATAGCTCATCTCCTCTTTTCGCAGACTGTTTCACTAACTGAAGTTCGCCGACCTCCCGTATTGCGTATCTTAAGGGATTATTTGTTGCGCTTTCTTCTCTGAATAATTGTAGCTTGCTGATTTGTCACTCCAACCGTTGGGGGAGGCATGTCGCTTAACGAGGATGCCGTAGAATGGTGAGGGCATTCGACTTCATTAGCATACATAAAGACTCGTGGGAATACAATACGAGTGGTGTCAGAAGCAACTCTTGAAGCTGTTTCGCTACTAAATCACTCAATACGGAGTTAGAAGCAAGCTGCGGTCACCTCGTTCGACCGTTTTGTTTGAAGCAGTACCTCTAGCCTTCACACACCTCAGAGCAGCCTGCAAGTCAGTAGGATTGTTCAAGACGAGTAAATGGCCTGTTGATATTGTTTTAATTTTTTTGTTACACACTTTCGTGTGATGAACAGCAGACGGGGTAAACCCCATAGTCACGAGGACCTGCTGTTCAGTGATGGAATACGGTGACCTAAAACCCGGGACTTGGAGTGGTAAACCAGCAATGCTCAAACGTTGATAGTTTTTATTGATCTTCCATTAAGGCGAGACTGCACCTTGATGTGTTATGATGTTTTGCGCTTCCAAGACCCAAACGTAGATGCAACGATGCCTGAAAGGCCAATGCGTGGACTCCAAACAAACTGTTTCACATGGTCAGACAGTTGGACACTTACTAGCTTTTCCTTAGATCATCCATTTTTGCGACTTAGAAAGAAGATTCCAGCAAACAAACACGCATAGGAGTCATGCGTCAGTAAAAAAGGTTATCAAGATGGACGTGGGAGCAGGGTTGTTGAGGCTTCCGACAGACGGTGGGAGAATTTCGTAGCAGTTCAATGAACAGCAGCAGAGTCCCAATCAGTTATGTGCATCCCGTACGCGCTCCGTATGTCTCAGTTGGTGCACAGGGCCAAACCCGAATGGCAAACTGACAACTAATGCACCAGTGAGCAAAACAAAACCTAAACTCGGAGTTCCAACGTACGTACTTCAGTTACGTCCTCATGTTGCATCTACGCCACGCTGAACTATGGGTCAGACCTTTGTGTCCCAAGTTCCGAAAAGGGTTCCCAAAGAAAAACCCTAAGTCGGGGTGAGCTACCTAAAGTCTCATGCAAGCGTCTAGGAACCTCTCGCATCTGTCTAGTTTTTCCACCAACTCACAGCATGGAAGTGAAGAATGCATATTCAGAGTAAGTGAAGCTGTAGTGACGAGTGAGGAAAGGTTAACTACTCATTGAGTGGTTTGGCAAGAGTGCCAACTGTGTTCAACGACAAAAAAGAAAATCGTGTGATACGATCCATATTCTTTGAACACCAAAAAATTACAAACGATAACAATCAACTTACAAAACTCCTTTTGCTTGAAGAGCCAATGCACCTCTTTACCGGTTCCTTGCAAAAGCTTTTCTTTGCCAAATCCACAGTTGACCAATCCATTGACGTACGAAGCTGCTAGATTAGCCCGTGCCGAATCCAAAGCTGCGGTATTTAACGTTGGTCGCACAGTTTCTAAGTGTGTTTTGTATATGTCCTCGGGAAGCTGAGCAGCAAAACAGCAATGAAAACTCGGTATGGGATTATCCGCGACAAACTCGATAACACCGCTATGTTCAGTAGTAACGTGGGCATGAAAATACAGCAAAGATGTGCACTATAGATACTGAGAATAAATGTATTGTTCTGTGCTCTTAGGCGGTCACCACTCAGTCTATTGCATCTGGCATACATTCACATAAGAGGAATCACCAAACACCCCAGGGAGTGAGAACTAAACCTGATAAGACAATACGCGGACCAAATCGTCTGTGAAGTCGCACAGACGATACAAGATGGTTCCACAATGTTAGTTATGTTCCGAAACGATTGCAGTAACATAGATTGAGTGGAGCTCGCGCAAGATACTATGTGCTGTTTTGTAGTGACGCATTTGGATGAAGCCTACGGAGACATGTGTAATCGAGTTCCTGGTTTTGTATACCTTTTGTACCGTTACACCCGGTCTAAGTCTGACCACACTAAAGAATTTTCCACTCACCACCTTCCTCTGCAAAATCTCAGAATGTTAAAGAACCATATCCGGTGACATGCATAACGTACCACGTTGTGTATGCGTTTTTGATCAATTTCCTTATGAAAATAAGCTGTCTTTCATTACTATTACAGTGCACACCTGGAGTAGTTAGTTAAAACTCCGTGATTCCAAACCAACCAAGAGGCGTAAGAAACACACGCACACACAGAAACATACCTTCCGAGTTGTGGCAGTATTCACCGGCTCAATTGGGTATCGAGGTGCATTGGGCACTCTGGACGTTTGATCCCCTCTAAAGGGCGTATGATCCGATGAACTGGACATCGACCTCCAATAGATTGCGGTTTTCACACACCATCCTGCTGCCTGGGGGATTAGGCTTTGACTGGTTGAAGGCTCCAATTAGGAATTCCCCAAGAAAATTCACCTGTCATGGCTTGGGTAACTTGGCAGTATTCCGTCCATATGCAAACCGTGCAACATTATCCTCTTTTATAAACACTATTGCACTATGATTTGTTTGGTACACAGTCTGGTTTTAAAGGCGAAAGCTTCCCATCGACGAGAGGCTTTGAGCGTTGAACGCCCGAAAACGGATGACAGTTTTGTAAACAACGGTGTTGATTGTTGTTTTTGTGGCTCGGGTAGTATAACTTGGTGTTCAGTTGTTCGCCGAGCTTGGCAATTGTATTGCAAACGTTTCATCACAAATCGAAAGAGAAAACTAAGAACTCACGTGCACGAACACAAACTGGCCATCAAAAGATACGATGCACTCTCACTCATCTCAATTCACGAAGACCAAGAAGGACACAACTTCGATTTCGAAAACACCAAAGTCGTCGATCAGACCCGCACCAAGCACGCAAGAAAATTTCTGGAAGCTTAGTATTCACGGGAAAACTCTGTCAACCGACACATTGACATCGATCAAGTCTACAACCCCCATGCAACAAAAGGACCAATCAGCGCAAAGAAGGTGGGTCGTGTCACACGTCACAACAGGACGACAGTAACAATTAGACCGATCGACCGACAA